AGGCTGAAGGATCTTGTGGGCTGGATTTTCCCTTAAACTGCCTCTGTGGAACAAGCTCAAGATCTCTCAGCTAAAGAAGCTAGAAGCCGTTTCCCAGTTTCTGAAGAGACCCTGGGAGCTCAATTGCCTTTTCCTGAACACCGGCATGGTCATTTAACTTAACACTGAAGGAGAGTACTTGGCTATTCTTTTTTAAAAGGAGAAAAACACACACCAGGAGGACAATGGGTCGCTTTCCTCCCTCGGGGCACAAGGTTAGTACACTTCAAACTTCTACGCGTATATGTCAACTGTCCGTGTTGATTCTCTCAACTTGTTGCCAAGCTGTCATGGAGCTGGCGACAGCCCTAGGCAGTCGAGGCTTCAGCTTCCTGCCTGCTAACAAGGGGAGAAGGATGACTTTATATAGGGTATTTTTTAATTTTTGCAGAACAGGAGGGGTTGCTTTCAATGTAAACGATGGCAGGGATCTGGCTGTTAAAGGATTAAAAATGGAAGTTTCTTCTGGAAGGCTATCTGTCGCCTTCAGTTTTGGCATGTACAATTTAAAATGACTTTTCTTGCCGGGTTTCACTTTGCTTTTGATTTGGCTTTGCTCCCAACGCGCTGAGCACCCCAGAAGTTTGGAAGGGGAACGATCAACTCCTTTGCAAGGGGCTGGCCTCTTAAAAGATTATGTAATGGGCTTATTAGAAGCTATGTAGTGCCTGAACGTATAGATCCGAAACTTCTGTAGATTTCAGATGGCAAATGGGCAAAGATGGATAGCTCTTAATTAAATAAACTTTTCTGAGAAACCCTCAAAGATCTTTGCCAGGCAAAGAGAGCCAGTCCTTCTCTTTCTCTCCCTCTCGTCACTAGAGTGGGCAGCCACAGTACAATGTCTGATGGTCGTCCTTATTGGTTTAACCAGCAGTCATTTTGTTGTGACTACAACTTGCTCCTGTGAAGAAGAAAATGTGCAAATTTGTGTTGATTCCTCAGGTCCAAGTGCTAGCAAGCTCAAGCCCAGAATGGATGGAGAAGTTATATGGCTATGTCCTACCTCTTGGGAATCCTGGTCCCCTGCTTGCAGGATCCTCTTAGGCAATTGGTTGGCCACTGTGAGAACAGGATACTGGATACAGACTTTGGTCTGATCCTGCAGGGCTTTTCTTATGTCCTTAAGGGCATGGAGCAGAAGGTCCAAAGGCCCGGAAGGGGGACAACCTGGCATCATAGAGAGAGGGCCTAGTGGCCTTCTTGGTGAGAGCCAATGTTGTTGTTTACAAATAGGCATCCGAATTAATATATTAAAGAGATCAATATCAACTTATGCAAAACAGCTGCATCTAAAAGCATTGCATATGTAAAGACAATATATTAAAACGACAGCAGTGCATACATAAAATCAATTCAAAGACAGATGCCAACTGGGAAGAAGATACTGACAGGCTCTTGACAGGAACATCTTTAACAGGTGCCAAAAAGACCACAGGGATGTGCGTTGAGAGGGAGTTCCACAGGACAGGTGCTGCCAGACTGAAAGCATGATTCCGACACTGCGCAGAATGGACCTCCTGATAGGGTGGTCTCTGCAGGACACTCTAGTAGTTAGAGACCTGGGTTCAGATCCTCACCCAGCCATGAAGCACATTCAGTCACCTTCAGCCTCACCTACCTCATGGCTGATAACAGGATAAAAGAGGCAGACATGGAGAAGGACCATAGAAACTACCCCTTGCATCTTCTTGGTATAAAGACTGGCTGTTGAGGCAGATGAAACTATCAAGGCTGAGGGACTATGCTAGATCTTAGATCTATATAAACAGGCAATGGCATGGGGTTGGCCATCTAGGATTACCTGGGTGATTCAGGTCTGTGGTGCCAGTGAGCTGGCTTAAACGGCCTCGGGTTTCTTCCACCACAGAGATGTAGGCGTCATGAAATGGTGTCTTCCCTAAAAGTCTCCCAGGTGTGAGCACATCAGTGTTGACACTATGAGATACGTAGGTGTGTTTTCAAACCTGCTATGGACACGCTAAGGATTCTTTTCTGCAAGTTGCTGTCTGTCCATGCATCTGACTTGCCAGCAGACCTGGTTCATTAGTGCAATTCTTGGGAGCAAGGCCTGGGACTGACTCCTGTGTAAAACTGGTGTGTGTGTGTGTGTGAGAGAGAGAGAGAGAGAGAGACAGAGAGAGAGAGACACAGAGAGAGAGACAGAGACAGACGAGAGAGAGAGAGAGAGAATGTGCACACACACATGCTTATACAAAAAATATATTGGGATTAGTTTTGTAATTATTTGGAAAGTGAGCAGAGTCCTAGCTTCCTAGCCAGCACATTTACCTCAGGAAGAGTTCCGTGAATGGCCAGTTCTAGCATAAACACTTCAAGTGCATGTGATCAGGGGCAGTTGGTGCAAAAGGGTGACATCCTATTAGTGGGGATGTAGTGATTACAAGGGACGCGGGTGGTGCTGTGGGTTAAACCACAGAGCCTAGGACTTGCCGATCAGAAGGTTGGCAGTTCGAATCCCCGCGACGGGGTGAGCTCCCGTTGCTCGGTCCCTGCTCCTGCCAACCTAGCAGTTCGAAAGCACGTCAAGTGCAAGTAGATAAATAGGTACTGCTCCGGCGGGAAGGTAAATGGTGTTTCTGTGTGCTGCTCTGGTTCGCCAGAAGCGGCTTAGTCATGCTGGCCACATGACCCGGAAGCTGTACGCTGGCTCCCTCAGCCAATAAAGCGAGATGAAATGAGCGCCGCAACCCCAGAGTCGGCCACGACTGGACCTAATGGTCCCGGGTCCCTTTACCTTTCAGTGATTACAAACATGAGCATTTGAAGCAATAAAAGAGGGGGGAACCAATGTGTTTTTAGCTTTTATTAGCTCTTTATCAGGGAAAAAATAGATGCAAACTGTTTTCTCATGGGATCCCTGCAGGAGTTCCACTCTCTGAGCATCAAACATGTGGGAATTGAGCCAGAGTTAATTGACTCTGCAGAGAGTTATCTAAGATAACAGGGATTCTATTTTTATTTTTAAAAAAGAAATTCTCAGAAAATAATCCCTTAAGCATTTTTGTCTCCTCTGGTGCCTCCCAAGTTGCACAGGGAGCAATGCGCTTATTAAATTACTTGCATGCCATTCCTTTAATAGAACTTTTGAAGAAGAAAAAGGGAGTCTAAGTGTCAGCCTCACTTTTATCTCTTGTTTATTGCTGGAGTGGAGTGAACCTGGAATTTCTCTAGATAACCAGGGAACAGCCCAAGTCTGCCAAGGTAACCTAGGGGAGTTTTAGGTCACTAAGACTGCCTTCAGGCTTGCTTGGCTTGCTTCCCAGGTGTGAACTTGGACCCTTCTGTTTGCCAGTTACCTGTTTTACCACTGAGTTCCAAACCCCCAGCCAATAAGCCAAAATGGCCTTCTTACCTACTACACGTGCAATTTTTGCTCTTTGAGGTGGGAATTGTGCTGTTAATGGATTCCAGTCTGTTGTTGTTTTTTAATGTGTTCCTGCTCCCTAGGGCCTAGGGTAGCAGCAGTCCAGGTTTTGCATAAAGCCGAGGAGCTCTAGACCTGAGAGCAATTGCAAAGACAGATTTCTAATGGGTCTTTCTCTTATTTATTTATTTCTATTATATATATATATATATATATATATATATATATATATATATATATAAAACATATCAATTCCAACAATCATGTAACATAACTTCTTATCTTATACAATATTTAGACTTCCGTCAACAACCTCTGAAGATTTTCCGTTCTTTATCACTTGTTCTGCATTTCTTAATTTCTCTATTACTTTTAATTGTCCTTAACTAATAATTCTTTTCAATATTTCACAAAGTCCTCCTGACAGAACTTCTTGTAGTCCTACCAGTGCAATCTGTTTCTAATGGGTCTTTCTCCTGTCTGATGTTAGAATTTGTTCTCTAGTAAGGTGTTTTGGTCCTCCGCTCTTCATGTAAATATTACATATTTCATAGAATCATAGAGTTGGAAGGGACCTTGAAGGTCTTCTACTCCAATGCAGGAATCTCAGACTAAAGCATCCATGACAGATGGCCATCCAGCCTCTACTTAAAAACCTCCAAGGGAGGAGAGCCCACCACCTTGTGTGGGAGTCCATTCCATTGTTGAATAGCTCTTAGCGTCAGAAAGTTTTTTCTGATGTTTGGTCATAATAATAATAATAATAATTTATTATTTGTACCCCACCCATCTGGCTGGGTTTCCCCAGCCACTCTGGGCAGCTTCCAACAAAGATTAAAAATAAATTAAAATGTCACAATATTAAGAACTTCCGTGAACAGGGCTGCCTTCAGATGTCTTCTGAATGTCAGGTAGTTGTTTATTTCCTTGACATCTGATGGGAGGGCGTTCCACAGGGCGGGTGCCACTACCGAGAAGGCCCTCTGCCTGGTTCCCTGTAGCTTTGCTTCTCGCAGCGAGGGAACCGCCAGAAGGCCCTCAGCGCTGGACCTCAACATCCGGGCAGAATGATGGGGGTGGAGACGCTCCTTCAGGTATGCTGGGCCAAGGCCGTTTACGGCTTTAAAGGTCAGCACTAACACTTTGAATTGTGCTCAAAAATGTACTGGGAGCCAATGTAGGTCTTTGAAGACCGGTGTTATGTGGTCTCGGCAGCCGCCCCCAGTCACCAGTCTAGCTGCCGCATTCTGGATTAGTTGTAGTTTCCGGGTCACCTTCAAAGGTAGCCCCATGTAGAGTGCATTGCAGTAGTCCAAGCGGGAGATAACCAGAGCATGCACCACCCTGGCGAGACAGTCCGCAGGCAGGTAGGGTCTCTCCTTTCTTGTAACTTGAAGCCATTGGTCTGTACCTATCCTCCTATCCTCTGGAGCCAGAAAACAAAACAGAACAATCTTACAGGACCAGTGGTCCTGCTAGCTAGGGATGATGGGAGTTGTAGTCCAAAAACAGCGGAAGACTTCTGCAAAAACACCTCTGCAAATAGACTGCACCATTTGCAACAACAACAACAACAACAGTGCTTACTGGTACTTCTTTTGCTCAGCTTGAGAGTTTGCGTATGAAGAGGCATGTTTCAAACTCGATGGTTCTGAGGGAATGTTGGCTTTGCAGACCCTTGAATTAAGAAAATATGTTGTGAAATAAATGCATGAAACTTGAATTTGTGCCCTTGAGAGCAGCGGCATTTATTTATTGATTCTAGGGATTTATAGTCTCCTTCAACAAGTTCCCAGGGTGGCTTACAAAAACATTAAAATAAAAAAATTGCAATATAAATCCATTCATGTTGTTACGGTGTGATGAATGCACAGGTGAAGAATCACAAAACATTGCCCAGCCATGCACAGAGCTGGTGGTTAATTAGATAGATAGATAGATAGATAGATAGATAGATAGATAGATAGATAGATGATAGATAGATAGATAGATAGATAGATAGATAGATAGATGATAGATGATAGATAGATGATAGATAGATAGATAGATGATAGATAGATAGATAGATGATAGTAGATGATAGATAGATGATGATAGATAGATAGATAGATAGATAGATAGATGATAGATAGATGATACATATAGATAGATATTATGTTATGGTTAAAACATTGTGCTGGCACATTTCAATTTGGAATATGTTTTGAGCCTCCACCTTAAGCTTAGAACATCTGCATTCTTTCTGTCTCATCTGTCTTACTCATTGAATATGGTTTTTGAACTGGATTTCAGTGAAGCTAATCTGTTTTGACTCTTTCCCCCTGGATCACTTGAAGCCATATAATATGATGAGCAGTTGTAAACTAAAGTTACAAACCGTAGCTTATCCTAAAAAACCCCAGAATACGTGTAACTGCTGATGCAGAAGAACCTGTCTTTGCAAAACGCTGTATAGCCCAGTGCCCCTTTGGCTTCTGTGCTGGGTGGGCTCAAGGGTTTGTGAGGTCCACAAGGAATGTCCTTCACTAGTAAGTGACCCAGCAGGGTTTCTTCCTCTTTCCACTGTCCTGTATGTGACAGGATTTGCCACTGGGCGTATGCTTGACAGCCAACCCTAGTTCCTGGCACCCGTATGAAGAACAGTTGCAGTATTTGACAGGTGACATGATAGATGTTTATGCAATTATGTATGGCATGGAGGAAACGGATAGGGGACGCGGGTGGCACTGTGGTCTAAACCACTGAGCCTCTTGGGCTTGCGACTCAGAACTCCTCTTGCTCTGTCCCAGCTCCTGCCAACCTAGCAGTTCGGAAGCATACCAGTGCAAGCAGATAAATAGGTACTGCTGTGGCGGGAAGGTAAACAGCATTTCTGTGCCCTCTGGCTTCAGTCATGGTGTTCCATTGCGCCAGAAGAGGTTTAGTCATGCTGGCCACATGACCTGGAAAGCTGTGGACAAATGCCAGCTCCCTTGGCCTGAAAGTGAAATGAGCGCCGCAACCCCATAGTCACCTTTGTCTGGACTTAACCATCCAGGGGTCTTTTACCTTTTTACCTTTTACTAGGGGTTGGATGAGTTCTTCCTTTTGTCCAATATGCCTCTGTAGTTGTGCTTGCATGTGAGTGTCTCCTTCTTAGAACTTCTTAAAATGCTCTCAAATGTTTGGTCAGTAGGGAGTCTAGAAAATTGCCCTGTTTGAGGAAAGAGACTGTTGCTCAAACAAGGACCCTGGAAAGCAGGCATTCAAGTTGCAGCATTTCTGTCTGGCTGTATGCACACAACACCTTTAAAGCGCATTCACAGCACATCCTCCCCAAAACGATTTGGCACGTTAGTTTGTTAGGGGTTGCTTGGAATTGCAGTTCTCTGAGGGGTAAACAACAGCAACCGGACTCCTTTGAGGGAATGAATGTGCTTCAAATGTGCTTTAAAGGTACAGTGGTACCTTGGGTTACATACACTTCAGGTAACATACGCTTCAGGTTACAGACTCCGCTAACCCAGAAATAGTGCCTCAGGTTAAGAACTTTGCTTCAGGATGAGAACAGAAATCGTGCTCCGGCAGCGCAGTGGCAGCAGGAGGCCCTGTTAGCTAAAGTGGTGCTTCAGGTTAAGAACAGTTTCAGGTTAAGAACGAACCTCCAAAATGAATTAAGTACTTAACCTGAGGTATAGTGCATACAAAGCCCAAGTCCAGGCTGTTCAGATCCAACAACAGTTTATAGAACAACAAACACGAGAAAAAGAAAGATGACTACAACCAACCAACCAACAGGATTTGCGGAGACACACACAGAGAAAGATGTAAATAATCGAGACTACGCAATCTGTGAGAGTCTGCAGCTAAGCTCAGAGCTTGCTGAATCCTGAGGTTTAATTTCTGGGAAAGCTGTGTCTTAATATTTGGAGGGACCAGTTCCTGCAGCAGCAGAAGAAGATAATGGGTTCTGCTTAACTGGGCTGAAGGTGACTGACTTTGAAGAGAGAACAGATGTCTGATGTCATTCTGAGAAAGGCACTTGACAATCCTGAGATACCACCAGGAGCTTGAACCACGTTTTACTATCGGTTGTCAACACTTGCTAGTGACAATATTCTTTTATATACATATTTGCTGTCGAGTTGAGGTGGGCGGGCAGAAAGTGTTAACTTTTGCTGAAATGATGCCCATACCTTAACCTGGGAAGGAAGTTGGCGTCTTTCAAGCTCCCTGTTTTATCAGTGCTTGCAAAACTGGATTGTAACTCTTTGTGTACTGTATTTATGTGTACCTCTTCAAGCAAAATCCGAGTTTATTGTATATTTGTTCCTCTTTATATGTGGGTGGAAAAGAAAGAAAATTATCTCACTTGTGTCGCCCAGTATAGAAACAATAATATGTGGCCAAGAATTGTGAGTGAGCTACAGCTGGCCACAGGTGGATCAGAATTCAAAGCCCAAACTGATCCATATCTCAGGGCTGAAAGTGGGGATCATCTTGCATTAGGAGGCAGGAGCGCAATGTGTGAATGACTTTTTCTGCCTTTTTTGTAGCAAGACGCTTGCACTAGGGACTTAAGGCTATGGTATTCGCTTCCTGGGGGACTCCAGTAAGCACCTTGTACTTTAAGCAGGGTGGATAAAAATCAACAATTTAAAAAAATAAAAAAGAAATCGAATTTTTAAATAAAATGCTTTTGGAGGAAAAATCTTTCTAAAGATAGTTTTCTGTTTAATGAAATAAGGATTTGTTTTAAGTTTTTCATGTGCGCTAACACTCAAAGTTTTTTTTTTTAAAAAAAATTGTTGAACCACATCAGTTAACGAACATGGATACATATGCTATAATATTATTGTTTTAGTTAAATAAATTGTTTATATTGTTATTAAGGAAATGATTATTTTTCTCCTTCCAATAAAGTACAGCAGAAAAGTTGTCCAAATATAAACAGTCAACTTATTAAACCTCACAATAATTTCATAATTATCTGTCTATGTATTTCTAATAGTATAACCAAATCAGTAATTTTTGATAGAACTGTGAAAACTACTCTGAAAATTTATTATTGTCTCAGGAGGTACAAATGATGTAGGTTCATGAGCTGAATTGAATTTCTTACCCATGCCTAAACACTCCATTCCAAATTACGTGTTTTGAATTTATATAGTATTTGGTACTTGAGTATTCATAGGCAAGTTTATAAAATTCCCACTGAGACCTTCAGACATCTGTAAATGGGGATATTCCTGTCGTACATCATAAGCCCGTGGTTAATTAGGCTCTAGAATTCAACCTGTTCCTTCTTCAAATTTTTCTTTCCTCCTTTCATTTTTTCTTGAAGACATTTTTCTATTCCCAGGAGCTTTACAGTCTAACGGGCCCAATCCTCTCCTCTTTTTAGAACTAATTTAACACAATTCTGGCATGGAGACAGTTGATTTCATTGCTGTGTGTTGTTCCCATGAGTATCACTAGCTTAAATATAAAATATTTAAGGGGAAGGGTTAAATATAAAATATTGAGGGAAGGGTTATTTCACTGCATTTTTTTCCACCAGAGTTCCACACCTGAACTTCAATCCCAAATCCAGGAGCGGCGGATGCTATCTTGGAATAATTACAGTTATGAAATGAGTCATGAGTCCTCAGGCCTGCCTATAAGTGTAAGGCATAGTAGGCCTTGAAGACAGGCCTGCTTTGGTGTTACATGCATACAGTAGCACACTCAATGTGGACTTCAGGATAGAGCCCTCACAGAGTGCTTTTTGCCTGGTTTAAATGTGTCTTTGGAATGCAGCTGTGGCGTTTGCCCGTTCGTTTAGAAAATGTCTGTATGGGGGAGAGAGAAAGGGTTAAAAATGTAGACCAATAGGAAAGCCGGAGGCGGAGCCTACCTGTTTATAAAAGGGCTTAGCCAGAGGTTTGAGTTAGTTGTTGGTGGGTGGTTGGGAAAGGCAGTTGGCAAAGCAGTTGGCAGGCAGTTGGAAATAGAGACAGTTACTGCAGTGGGTTTGAAGGAAGATGAGGACAGGTGACCTCACCTAGGCCTGAAGTCACCCCCCACCAAAGCAGGCTCAAAGCTTCTCAAAGCTTTTCAAAATCAAAAAACTATTCCTTGAGTGTCTGTTGACTCCCACTTCCCTTTCCCAGGCGCAATATTTTTCCCACCCAAGGGCAAAGCCTCATAAGGCTACAGGTTCTTGAGTGAGGGGAGGTAGAAGAGATAATAAGACTAAGAAAGTAAAGAGTAACAACATTTGGAATGCCGTTAAAGTTTGTTTCTGTCTGAAATAAACTACACTCTTTATTAATTTGAGAACCTGACTGAGACTGAAGTGATTTTACCGGGTAGGACCTGGTTGGTGGCAGCGGATTAGTGGTGTACGGGTCAATAGTCCGTGAGACGACCGGGGGCTCCGTACGAACTCCACAGCCGCAATACATCTTGCTTGCCTGAGCAGATAGAAGGAGGCAGTTCAGAATTACAACAGGGATTTGAGGGAGATCAAAGCTCAGAGGCAGATGAGGGGAAAGCTGAGAAATAATAGGAGAGGAGGAGGAGGAAGAAGCACCAGAGGGGGAACAGCTGAAGGACAGAAGTGTCTTTAGAAAGCATTCCAGATCCCCCCCCCAAAAAAAACCTGGTGGGCATTGAAAGTAGGAGAGCAGAGAGCTCAGAGGCAATCTCAGCACCTGTACTGAGGACACATAATGGGAGGGAGGGAGCAGGTGGAGACTCACTTGACTCCCAAGTGGCTGCATGTCTAAGTCTCTCTCTGTGAATATTGAATAAAAAGCATTGGTAAGAACTTTCCTTGTCTTACCAGTTCCTGGCAACCTACCATGGGGGGTTGGATCCTCTGATGCCTGACAGCTAGGTGGGCCATTGGCCTGATCCTGCTGGCTAATCTTACGTTCTTATGTTCTGGAGGGAAAGGAGGTGGTGGGGAAGAAAAGTGTAGAAGCCTTTGGCTTCTGCACGACTGCATTGCAGTCTAATGTACAAAAGCAAGATTCACATTCCTTGCTCCGCCCACTTTTGTCCCACCCCCTCCCGCCGGTATGTGGTCCGCAGGCGATTCCCCTGAAAGGAATGGGGGCTATTCTGCTGGGGGGAAAGGACCTGCGTCTCTGTTGTAAGTACAGTGGTACCTCGCAAGACGAATGCCTCGCAAGACAAAAAACTCGCTAGACGAAAGGGTTTTTTGTTTTTTGAGCTGCTTCGCAAGACGATTTTCCCTATGGGCTTCCTTCGCAAGACGGAAACGTCTTGCAAGTTTGTTTCCTTTTTCTTAACACCGTTAATACAGTTGCGACTTGACTTCGAGGAGCAACTCATAGCACGCGGTGTGGTAGCCTTTTTTGAGGTTTGTAAAGACTTTGGTGATTTTTGAAGCTTTTCCAAAACTTTCCCGACACCGTGCTTCGCAAGACGAAAAAAATCGCAAGACGACAAAACTCGCGGAATGAATTAATTTCGTCTTGCAAGGCACCACTGTACTGGCTGCAGGGGTTCAGCAAGGGTTGAATTTCACATGAACGGAGCCTCTGGGGCCAGTTTGGAGGTCCCCGCTGAGGCAAAAACAGCCGTGCCTTTGCCCGGTATTCCACCTAGCGGCGGCGATCAATCATAGTGCCCCAACAGATGTTCCATTTTCATTGCAGCTCTCATGTCGTGTCCCGTTGTGTCTGCCAGACTGCTACCCCGAGCATACATAATAATAAGTAAATCCTGTCAAACAAAATGGGCCTAAAGTCAATGTGTGTAGAAATAGGCTGTCAGAATGATGGATGGTGCCGCTAGCCCCCCCAAGCTGAGTCTGTTCCTGCCCAGCAACTTCTACCTCATTTTTTGCTGGACTCAGACACTGTCTTCACTAAAGTGGTATGATACTGCTATAAATATATAAACAATCATGGCTTCCCTCAAATAATCCTGGGGATTGAAGTTGGTTTAGGGTGTAAAGGGTTGCCAGGAGACTCCTGGTACCCTCACAAAGGTACAATTCCCAGAGTCTCTGGGAAGAACGATTGACTATTAAGCCACGGGCGGAGGAAGAGGACGTAAAGGACCCCTGACAGTTAAGTCCAGTCGCGAACGACTCTGGGGTTGTGGTGCTCATCTCGCATTACAGGCCGAGGGAGCCGGCATTTGTCCGCAGACTGTTTTTCCAGGTCATGTGGCCAGCATGACTAAGCCGCTTCTGTCGAAACCAGAGCAGTGCACGGAAACGCAGTTTACCTTCCCGCCGGAGTGGTACCTATTTATTTACTTGCACTTTGACGTGCTTTCGAACTGCTAGGTTGGCAGGAGCAGGGGCCGAGCAATGGGAGCTCACCCTGTTACAGGGATTTGAACTGCCAACCTTCTGATTGGCAAGCCCTAGGCTCAGTGGTTTAGACCACAGCGCCACCCGCGTCCTAGGCCTTTGGCTGTATGCAATCAATTGAATTGAATTGTTATTGTGGGCTCTCACCCCACACAGCAGACATTAACTTTCCTTCCATATTCTCCCACCAAGTCACACATGTTCATCCAACTGGGGGCCATAAACAAGACTTGGGGGGGGTGGCACCTTTGCATGCACTCTCCACAGGAAGTAGCTCAGTATGGGAAGGGCTGTGTGGCAGAAGTTTGTGTGCAGACAGACAGTCCCAGCTTCAATCCCCAGCACCTCCAAGTAGGATTGGTAACGTTCCTAGCTAAAAACTTAGAGAGCCAATTGGACATCACCCAGCCAGATGGACCAATGGCTGGACTCGGCGTTAAGGCCGTTTCCTATGTTCCTAGCAGGTTCCTGTGCACCGCCGAGCTACAGTGCTCCCCCAGAGCATCGTTTGAAAACCCTGCCTAGTGAATGCCTGCATAGTTTGGCTTTGATTTTGTGAAACGATTGCATTGACACAGCAACAATGCACTCTTTGATACAGGAGGCTTAGGCGGCAAAGCTTGCCAAGTGCTGGCTTCTCTGCCTTATTTCCCTGCTAGTTTTGTGTCCCTTCTCCTGCAATGAGTGGGAAGAGAAAGACATGCACACACACTGAAATATACTCGGAGTCGAGAGTGGATTTCATGCTCTTTATTCAGCTCATAGTGGTGAGGAGGAATGGAAGTTCCCCCAGAATGTCTGCTTTATATACATTTTTTACACAATGGGCCCCCACGTGATTGGCTAATTCCGGGATTCTCCTGCAGGCCAATCAGGTTGCGGATTCACTTCCACCTAGAGCTGGATTGGGTGGCTCCTGTGGACCAATCAGACTGCTGCATTCTGGATCCTATTGTTCTAGGACCAATCAGACTGCTGCATTCTGAATCCTATTGTTCTAGGACCAATCAGACTGCTGCATTTTGGGTCCTATTCAACTCAGTACATAACACCCACATACACAACTTTGTCGCTGGCTGAATTGCTGATGCCGGCAAAGCAGGGAGCATGCATGCATGCTGGCCAATGCTGCATGCGCCAGTTCTCCTCGAGGTACGGGGAGGGTGCATATCTGCGGCGCTCGCTGCCCACACAACTTAAGTTATATAAGTAAGAAACTCATGCTTATTGTTCTGATTGCTTCTGGTTTTGACACTTTCCCAAACCCACCGATGCCTAGTCCCCTCCCCGGGCCCCAGAATGTTGTGGGTGTTTTCTCTCAATTAAAAGCAGATGAAACAACATAAGTGAAAAATTATATAATCAAATCCCAGACCCTGCTCTTCATTTGTCAGACAACTCACCCACTCTCTGCCTGTGTTTCGGAGGTGCTCTAATCACAGAGAAACCATCTGTCTAAACAGACGGAAGAGGGGAGAAGAATGTTCTGCGGACTCCCAGGCGTGCGAGAGTGTTTATGTTTGGTGGTGTATGTGTGGGAACAGAGGACCTCAACATTTTGTAGATGGGGACATCCGAGTTTAACTCCTGCAGTGTGCTCCTTGCTTCCTAGAGTGGCGACAAGGGGTAACAGCACTAGTTGGGTTTGGTTCCCTTTTGGTCATGGAAGCAGATTAAATCTGCTTTGTTTACAAACCATACAAGTGGACTTTAAGTGAAAAGGAATGGCAGGAGAGAATGTGCAAGGCTGCCAATCTGGCTTTAGCCGTCAGCTCACTCACAGCTCGGCCACATTTGCACCATACTTTTAAAGCACCGCTAACGCTTTAAACACCTGTGGCTTTCCCCCAAAGAATTGTGGGAGCCATAATTTGTTAAGGGTGCTGAGAATTATTAGGAGACCCCTATTCCCCTCCCAAGTGGGACGCGGGTGGCGCTGTGGGTTAAACCACAGAGCCTCTTGGGCTTGCCGATCAGAAGGTCAGCGGTTCAAATCCCTGCGACGGGATGAGCTCCTGTTGCTTGGTCCCTGCTCCTGCCAACCTAGCAGTTCGAAAGCACCTCAAAGTGCAAGTAGATAAATAGGTACCGCTCTGGCTGGAAGGTAAACAGCGTTTCCGTGCACTGCTCTGGTTCGCCAGAAGTGGCTTAGTCATGCTGGCCACATGACCCGGAAGCTGTACGCCGGCTCCCTCAGCCAGTAAAGCGAGATGAGTGCTGCAACCCCAAAGTCGGTCACGACTGGACCTAATGGTCAGGGGTCCCTTTACCTTTACCTTTTCCCCCTCCCAGAGCTAAACTAGAGTAGTTTAACAATCCATCCCTCTTCCCTGGGAACTCTGGGAATAGAGCCCTTAACAAACTACCGCTCCCAGGATTCTTTGGGGGGAAGCCATGAGTGTTAAAATGGCATCATAGTGCTTTAAACCAGGCATAGGCAAACTCGGCTCTCCAGATGTTTTTGGCCTACAACTCCCATCATCCCTAACTAACAGGACCAGTGGTCAGGGATGACAGAAAATGTAGTCTGAAAGCATCTGGAGAGCCAAGTTTGCCTATGCCTGGCTTTAAACACATGGGGTGCATGTGGCCTCCTTTTCTGCGTTTGCATATTCCAAAGGCAAGGTGCCGTTTCTGCACAGCACCTCCCCTTACTCTGTGTGTGCAAAGAAGAGAGAGGCCTTAAGGAGCCTAAGAGAAGCGCTGCAGGATCAGGCCCAGCTTCCTGCTCTCACAGTGGCTTAAAGGTAAAGGTACCCCTGCCCGTATGGG